TTTATAATGTAGCTTCAGCTCGTTTATAATGTAGCTTCAGCTCGTTTTAAATGTAGCTTTAGCTCGTTTTAAATGTAGCTTTACCTCGTTTATAACGTAGCTTTAGCTCATTTAAATTGTAGCTTCAGCTCGTTTAAAACGTAGCTTCAGCTCATTTACTATGTAGCTTCAGCCCATTTAAATTGCAGCTTCAGCTCGTTTAAAACTTAGCTTTAGCTCGTTTAAAACGTCGCTTCATCTCGTTTAAAATGAAGCTGAAGCTCATTTAATATGTAGCTTCAGCCCATTTAAATTGTAGCTTCAGCTCGTTTAAAACTTAGCTTCAGCTCATTTAATATGTAGCTTCAGCCCATTTAAATTTTAGCTTCATCTCTTTTAAGCTTCGGCTCATTTAAAACATAGCTTTAGCTTGTTTGAAATGTAGCTTCAGCTCGTTTAAAATGTAGCTTTAGCTCGTTGGAAACGTAGCTTCAGCTCGTTTAAAATGTAGCTTTAGCTTGTTTGAAACGTAGCTTTAGCCTGTTATAAATGTAAAATGGCTTTGAGTTTTGAACATAACTGCTAAACACGGTGCATAATAATATTAACCGAACAGCTTATAAATAAAGGAACAAACGCAGAGAGGAAAATCTTTTTAAATTTAAACCTGGAGGTAAGTGTTGCAGTAAAATATGATTTAATTATTTAAATTTAATTATTAGCATTTCTTCATGTTCTTTGAGTCTCACACGGTGTTACAAAACGTTTCTGTTTGAGTAAAAAACATCTAACCCTGAAAAGTTTTGTTCACAATGAGACGTAATGACGTGATGATGGACGAGCTGAAGGCGTTTTACGGTTCTTCTCAGTTTTAGCTGTTTCCCTCCATTTAAACGCGCTGTGGGTTTTTCTCCCTCAGGTTTGTCTGACAGGCTGCTCCAGAGACTTGATGGTGCGAGTCGACCTGCTCTGCTCTCAGCACAACATCAAGGTGTTCTGTGGAGACGTCTACGGTTTCTATGGTTACATGTTCTGCAACCTCGGACCGGAGCACAACTACGTCGAGTGAGTTCACCTGGGTTCAGGTAGAACCTCGCCGAGCTGGACTGCTGCCGACTCAGATTAAACATGTAAATCTTCGTTTGCTCGTTTTCTGAATTCCTCTCTTATTCAGGGAAAAACCTAAAATGATGAAACCCTCGGCTGATTCTACCGACGGTCCAGAGGCAAAAAGAGCTAAAATCGATCCCAACGAGACCATCATGGTGAAAAAGGTATGTGGTTCTGGAGCCGGCTCGACCCATCTGATGGGACGGATCAGCTGCACCCTTCATCAATCACTCCATCATTTCTTTAAAGAACTCCAGCGTCTCTCTATGACAGAACTTTCTAATTATTTTAATTTGAATCGTTTGTTTAAGCTTCAAAATCAAGGCTGGAAATTTAGCTACTATTCCGTCAAAATTATTTCTCATCAGCCTCAAAACTTTATTTTTTTACATAATTTCTTTCTGTTTTCTCAAACTTGTTTAATATTTTATGCATTTATTATCAGAAATCGTGAAAACTGCTTTAATTAGAAAACAAGCTGACGTTTCTGTGTCTGATGTTTCGTCTGAGAATGTGAAATTAGATCATTTTGTTACATATGTTTATAAAAAAATCATCTCTCCCCGAGCAGACGGCTAGTTTCTGCAGTCTGAAGGCGGCGCTGGAGGTGGACTGGACCGGCGAGAAGGCCAGAACCGCCCTGAAGAGAACGCCCGTGGACTACTTCCTGCTTCACGGTTTGTCCTTTTTAATTATTCCAGGTTTTAAAAAAAGCCGACCTGTTGCTGAAATTTGCGGTTTGACGTGTTTTATGAATTTAACTAGATGAATGACAAAAATCTGTAAGAATAAAAACACTTGAACTGGATCAGAAATACACAAATCATCACTTCATCCTCAAATATACATTTTAACTTCACGTTCGAACCCAGATCTGCAGAGCAACGTTTTGGAGCAGCTTGTGCTTCTCTTCAGGCTGAAGTTCTTACAAATAAAAATAAAAAACTAGAGAAATTGCATTTCCTGCGAAAACGCAGTGTGAATGCTTCTTGCTGAAGAATTTACTGGAAAAACAGCTGCAATTAGCTTAAAACATGCTGAAATGTAGCTGAAACAAGCTTAAGTTTGCAGAAAAACATATTTGCTGAATTTGGTTTAACCTAAGACCCAACTCTTGCATGACATCTATTATTAATTCCTATTTAGGAGGTTAAATAGGCAGTAATGAGCACAAAAATGACTAAATTAGCTAAAAATAAAAATAAAAACACTGTGAAATTAGAAAAAAAAAAACAGCTGAATATTTGCTAGCATAGTAGAAAGAAGTATAAATTAACAGAAGGAAGTGGAGAGATCACAAGTTTGCCTAATTAGGCTGAAAGAAGCAGAAATGAATACAAAAAGTTGAAATTATCTGAAAAAGCAGATTTTTGCCAATAACTGCTGAATAGTAGCTAAAAAAATAGTAGAAATAAGCTTAAATTGTCCCAAAGCAAGTAGAGCGAGGACAACTGTGCCCACTAAGGCTGAAAGAAGCAGAAATGTCGAAATAAAAGATGAAATTATCTGAAAAAAGGCAGAAATTTGCCAAAAACAGCTGAATAGTAGCTAAAGAAATCTAGAAAAAGCTTAAATTATAAAAAGGAAGTGGTGTGATCACAATAAGTCCCCACTAAGGCTGAAAGAGGCAGAAATTAACACAATAAAGTTGAAATTATCTGAGAAAAGCTGAAATTAGCCAAAAACAGCTGAATAGTAGCTAAAACAAGCAGAAAGAAGCTTAATTTACCTGAAGGAAGTGGGCAGAGCATGAATCTGCTGAATTAGTCTGAAAAAAGTTGAAATGATCGCAAATAACTAAATTCTCACCTGCAAGTCTAGGATCAGCTGATCAGAAAGATGAATTAATAAATAACTGATAAAATATCAAGGAATAAATAAGGGATGGTTGGCTCTAATATAAAAGGTGCCTTTTAATTTATCGGAATAAATGTTCTGTTAAACCTAATATTTAATTTAAAAAATGATCAATACCTGATCGATACATTAAAAGTTGTATCAGTTTTAGATCAGACAGGTTCAAGGTTTGACGATTAATGGAAGTAAATGTTTGTTTTACGTCACCTGAGCTGTTGTTGTTTGTCAAACATCCGTCGTGTAAACAAACTCGGAGAAGTTTCCATCAAGTGAGGAACGTGGAAAACGTTACCGTTGATCTAATCTGACGTCAAACGTTGATTAAACTATTTATTCAGCATTTGTTAGAAAAACACGTCGGGTGGAACAAACCCGCTGACCCTCCGTGTCGCAGCTTCCTGTTTATCGTCTCTCCGTCACCTGGGCTTCCGCCCGTCCCGCCAACGACCCGATAGTTTCCATCACGGGCCATCCATGGGCGCTCATGTGCACCGAGCGGAGCCCGACACCCACACGCCGACAACCTTCACCTGAAGAACATTCAGTCCACGAGAACGTTCGTCAAAAAGAAAAAAACATAAATTTATCAACTTTACAAAACGTCCAGCGCTGAAAACAGAAAATCTTTTATTTATTGATTCAGTAGCACTCACATCTGTATCGAAGTGCTTTAAGCACACAATCAAAACTCACATGTGTGCCTCCCTCCCCGACACCCTGGACCCCCAGAGCAAACAGATGATGCCATTGCTTTAGCAGTTCACACCTCCCTCATCCATCTGGAGAAGGTAAACACCAATGTGAGAATGCTCTTCATTGACTGCAGCTCAGCGTTCAACACCATAATCCCCTCCAAGCTGGTCTCCAAGATCACCACATTGGGCCTGGAGAAGTCCATCTGCTGCTGGATACTGGACTTCCTCATCAACAGATCACAGGCAGTGAGAATCGGCTGTCACCTCTCCTCCACACTAGTACTCAGTACCGGTACACCTCAGGGCTGTGTCCTCAGTCCACTCCTGTACTCACTATTTACACATGACTGTAGCTCCCGGCACAGCTCTAACGTCATCCTCAAATATGCTGATGACACCGCCATCTTGGGCCTCATCACCAACAACGACGAGAGTGCCTACAGAGATGAGATGAAATCACTGACCAGCTGGTGTCAGAAAAATAACCTCTCTCTAAATATCAGCAAAACAAAGGAGATGATTGTGGACTTCAGAACACAGCATGGAGGCCAGCACTCCACCATCTACATAAACAATGCTAAGGTGGAGCAGCTTCAAGTTCCTCGGCGTTCACATTACTGAGGATCTGTCCTGGACTTTACATACAGACACTGTGGTCAAGAAAGCCCGACAAAGACTCTACTTCCTTAGAATATAAAGAAGTTTGGTACAAACACCAGCATCCTCACCAGCTTTTATAAGTGCACCATTGAGAGCCTGCTGACAGGCTGCATCACGGGATGGTACGAGAACTGCACCAGCCAGAGCCAGAAAGCTACAGAGGGTGGTGCAAACAGCAGAGGACATCACTGGTAGCAGTCTCCACACCATCCAGGACATCTACCACAGCCGACGTCTGCGTAAAGCACGCAGCATCATTAAGGACCACACCCACTCAGCACAAGGACTCTTCCATCTACAACCCACAGGCAGAAGATACAGGAGTCTGTCATCACGTACAAAAAGACTAAAGGACAGTTTTTATCCACAAGCTGTCAGATTACTGAACTCTAAATAACCAACACTGAACATCTGGCAATAACTAACTAATAGTTCAACCTCAATGTCACTACTTGTGCAATAACCTGTCACATGACCCGTGTGGTATATTTTGATTATATATAATATATATGTATGTGTGTATATCTCATGGGCATTTTAGTTTATATTACTACCTTGAAATACTTATTCATTCAAATTCATCCTGCTGCACCGTTATATTCTACCATGTTGTTGTTTACTATCTCTCTTTAGGACATTGTAAATATTATAATTACTTTTTCACTTTTTGGTACTTTTTTTTTGTGTACCCTTATTGCATGCTCTTAGTATTTCTTGTTTGTTTTGTTCTTTGATTTTTTTTTTTAGCGAGTCAAATCTTCTCATCCTGAGCATTTCATTGTACTGTTAACTCTGTGTTGACCTGCATGTGACAAATAAACACAACTTGAACTTGTGCTCCTTTCAGCTGATTTTAGCTCATTTGAGCTTTTTCGGCTGATTCAACATTTTTTGCACTCATTTCAACTTTTTTCAGCCTAATTCAGCAAAAATGTGCTCACTCCACTTCCTTCTTGTAATTTCAGCTTCTTTCTGCTTTTCTAGCTACTTTTCAGTTGTTTTTTGCTAATATCAGCTTTTTTCAGGTAATTTTAACTTTTTTGTGCTTTTGTGCTTCTGCTAATTTAAGCTTCCTCTACATTTTTAGCTACTTTTTTTTTTAGCATTTTAGCTAATTTCAGCTGTTTCTGCTATTTCAGCTACTTTTTTTCTTTGCCTCCAACTCCTACGTGTGTCCAGTTTTTGTCTGTCCAAACAGGTCTCACTTGTAAACGAGTCTTCGAGGCTCTACGTGATTTATCTGTTTAAATAAAGTTTGAATGAATGAATGAATAAATTTAGCTGTTTATGTGCAAAATTTAGATTTCTCTGCTAATTCCACATTTTTTAGCTCTTTTCAGCTCCTTCCACTTCCTTGTGGTTGTTTAAACTTCTTTCTGTCTTTTCAGCTATTTTTCGCTACTTTCAGCCTTTTTTTTAGCTTATTTCCTCTTTTTTTTTGTTCTTATTTCTGCTTATTTAACCCTAATTCACCAAATATGTGTTCTTTCTGCTTTCATCTGCTAACTTAGCTTCTTCCAGTTCAGCTATATTTCTGTTGTTTTTTTTTTTTAGCTACGTTTAGCTGTTTTTCAGCAAGTTCTTCAGCAATAAGCATCCACACTGCATTATTTTCTCTGGTTTCAGTTTTAATCCAGCTGTCCTGGACTTGTGTTTCTTTAAAGGCTCGGTGAAACGCCGTGTCTTCTTTCGGCCTCGTTGCAGAGTGGAAACATTAGTTGTGTTGGTTTCATTTCAGTGAACATGAGACAGGAAGTGCTGCTATTATTCCTCCACAGTTTCTATAGTTGGAGCGAGCTGTTGTTGTTGTTTTGGGCGTGCGATGAGGAAGTGGCTCTTCCTCTGCTGTAACTGTTTCCGGTCTCACTAGGAACTGTGTGTGTGTTTTATTTTTAGCACCAGCGTGTGTGATTTCTTCTTTAAAGCAGGTGCAGCCGCACGTGTTGACTAAAAAAAAAACATTTAATTTTGATTAATTTCTTCATATTTTCTGTGAATCAAACGCCTAAATATGAAAACTCACCATTTCTCATTTTAAGGCCCCTCTTGACCTTTAACCCTCTGATCTGTGAGCGCGTGTCACGACAACACGCGTAGGCCGAGATAGACATCGTTGTTCCACTTGTGTTGACATTATTACACCGTGATGAAATTTGATTTGATTTCCTGTCAGACCCGAGCCAGGAGCCACTTCTTTAACTTTCTTCTGATAAACGGCGGAGCCGAGGTGTGAGCATGGTTCGTCGTGTGCGTGTGCTTGGTATCGTCTGTGGGAGGGCTCGACTTCTTCATGTGGTTGAATTTAATGGACGAGCAGGAACCAAGTGGGCGAACAGGAAGGAATCTGAAGTATGGCCAAATGGCACCATTTTGATTTCAATACGTTTCTCAGTCCGTGCTGAGAACGACGCATCATCAGCGTAAGAACTAATATTTCCTCAGCGACGTGTTGCGGTGGTTCTGAGCGTCTGGTTCTGGTTTGATGTGGGGATACGTGGGCCTGATCGGATGATCCGGTCGATGGTGCAACCACAGAGACGACGAGTCACCGTGGTCGTCAGTGAAACTATAAACGGAAATAATGCAACAGATAAATTGGAAACGTAACTTTCGCAACTTGTTTCCAGTTTCCTAACTGGCGTTTCTTTCCTCCTGATGGTTTGTTTGTTTGTTTTCCGTCCTCGCTCCAACAGTTCTGTTGAAGTTTCGCACAGACAAAGGTCGCGACCCCGACCCAAAGTCCTTCACAGAAGACAGCCTTCTCCTGAGACAGATCCGAGACGACGTCCTGGAGGCCCTGGCCCTGAGCAGCGACCTCCTTAACGACGACTTCATCAGGTTTTCTGCAGCGCCGTGAATTAAATCATAAACACACGCACGGTCTGACTTTAGACGAGTCCAGTGGGTTGTGTCCAAAAACACGTAACCAGTTTATTTTTTTTCCTAAATACATATTTATCCACTTTTAACCTGTGATGGGCTGTTAAAACTACAACCACTGCAAGGTAACTATTAAATATTGACAAATTTGAACAAAAATACAGCAAAAGTGATCGGGTTCAGCAGAACCATGCAGATTGTTACTCACCGGGCTGTTCAGAACCAGCGGCCGACACAAAATAAATCAGAAAAAAGTCAATTTTTAGTTTGAATCTCTGACTTGTGAGTGTTTTTACCAGCGAGTCGTGCAGCAGTTGGTCTTTTAAAGTCAGAACTTGTTTTTTGGTCCAGAACATGTTTCAGGTGGTGAAACCCGCCTCCGATGCTCTTGACACGAGTTAAAGACGAGTCAGATTATTTAGAGAAAATGAGTTGAACAAATCATTTAAATGTTTAAAAGTGACAAGACTGCAAGCTTCTGCAAGGAAACTTTGAGATTTGAAGACTCTTGGGTCCTTCAACGCCTTCAGAGAAGGCCTAAGAGTTCAGCACAGATTAAATATTACTTTTAAATCTTTACTTCGTATAGGATAAATATTTTCAATGTAGTTTTTCTTATTTGCTAATTTCTCTTATTTTCTGTAAACTATTTTACAGTTGAGCAGAAATCTTATTTAAATTAATGTAAATCCAGTTATCCAATCAGCAACATGTCTGACGCTTCGTTCTCATTGGTCAGGACTTCGCTGTCAGCAGAGAAGGCTGAGCTCAGTCAGGAGGAGTTCGTTTAATGACTGGCAGGAACATTAACCAATCGCAATGCTGATAATAGAGTGGGTGGGGCCAAAACACGGAGCTCTGAGCCTTCAGGAAGGCCCACGTGAGCCTTCAGGCGGTCCTTTAGTTATGACCACGTGAAGAATTGTGATGCATTCAGGTGCAACCCGTAAATTTAAAAAAATCCACACGGAAATTTAAAAACTGAAGATGAAATATCATTTAGGTTTACGTGTATGATTTTCAGAATTAAAGTTGTTTTTGTTTCACTCCATGATGAGACTTTACAGAAACAGTGAGCTCTGTGGATTAATGTTAAAGTTCAGTGTGCGTTATTAAAGTTACGTGTTGTACTTGAACACAAGATACAGGGTGAGCTGCAGGGGCTGCTGGGTAATGATGGGACATAAATGAGGGGACTTTCAGGTTCTGGTGGGGCGTCCCTGTTGGTGGTTCTGTGTCCTGGAACCAGAACTCTGACAGGTGAACACAAACGAGGTGTTTATTTCCGGTCTTTCTTCTCGTTTGTCCGCAGCTTCTGCTTCTCGGAGATTTCTCCGGTCTGCGCCGTCGTCGGAGGCGTTCTCGGACAGGAAGTTGTCAAGGTGAGCTCGCCAACAGCAGGGGGCTTTGAACGGGTCAGAAAGAAGGTTGCAAATGGGTCGTCAGCTGCCACTTCCTGTCTGTCCCTCAGTGGTGAAGCAGGTGGGACTGCGGGCTGACATGTGGTCCCTCTGCTGGTTCCTGGGTCAGACCCGGACTAGCAGCAGCTCCTCGGCTCTGCAGAACTGACAGGCGCTCCAAACGCTCACCGTTTGAGTCAAAACGCTCCTTCCGTTGTTTGAATCCCCTCAAAGTGAGCAGGGCAACGTTTTAAAAGACGACAAACTAAATCAAACTACGGTTTTAAACCGAGATCACTTTGAAAACGGTGGTTTTGTTAAAGACTGAATCTGTTCAACCCTCCTGCTGCCCTTGGGTCAAAATGAGGGCTCGGTTTATTTTTAAAATCTTTTTCAAGTTTGAGCAAACCTACGTAGCCTCATAAATCAAACATTATTGTTTAACGCAGAATATAAAGAAAGGGGAGTGGTGGCGCAGAGGTTAGAGAAGGCGAGCCTGTGAGCTGAAGGTTCAACCCCCGGACCGACATCAAAATGTGGGCGGAAAAGTTGAAGCACCCACACCTGCCTCCACCCTCATTTGCCCCACACTGTGCCTTTGAGCAAGGCCCTTAACTAGGTGGCAGCTCTCTGCTCCACACAGAGGGCCGTGGTTGCGTCAGGAAGGGCATGAAAACAATCGCCAAGTCTTCGTGCGAGTTAGTTCGCTGAGGGAGGAGCAGCCGAAAGAAGAAGAATATTTAAAAAAATCAGAAACATTTTATTTTTTTTAAGAGCCGACAAAAATCTGAAGTTCACGTCGACGTGAGAGCGTCTGGATTTCAGGGTCCACTAAATTACAACCTGACGCCACGGTGGTGATGAAACTCACTGCAGCAAGGCGTCAATCACACACACACACACACACAGAGGTTTGTTTTGCTATCTTTATGGGGCCTTTGCATTGACTTCCATTCATTTTTCATTCATTTCTATAGCCTAACCATGACCTTTATCCTTAACCTAACCATTACCAGTACATACCTAACCCTAAACCTAACACATCCTCAATTCACACCTTAGTCCTAAACCTAGCCCCTAACCCACCAACGGGACTTCTTCTTATGGGGCCTGGGCTTTGGGCCCCATAAGGAGCAGTTGGTCCTCAATGCAGTATTATAAGTTGGAAAAATGGGCCTCACAAAGTAGCATAAACAAGGACACACACACACACACACTAATAATAACTTTGGACCAAACATTAAAAAGGAACAGCCTGCAAAAGAAAACAGTTTCCAGTTTTCCTTCAACCTTTATTTCTACAGGTTAACCCCACTGAGCCTCGGGGACTCATTTACAAGAGAGACCTGGTTTTAACAGAGTGGTGGCAACAGAGGACAATCATAAGACGCACAGATTTATTTATTTTCTGAATAAACACACCACCCCAACCTTTACACCTCCTTTCAATTGACGCTCGGATTTTGTTCGTTCACGTCCTACTTTAAACCCAAAAGGTTTAATAAAAACACGGAAATATAATTTTATTATGTAAAATAAATACATTTCATGTTGTTTTCAGGCTCTGTCCCAAAGAGACGCTCCTCATCGCAACTTCTTCTTCTTCGACGGCCGTAAAGGAAACGGCGTGGTGGACTTCTTTGGACCCAACTGAAGGGCCTGGTTCTCCAGCGGATATTTAACACACTCTTGTTGGTTTTCGTTGTATTTTTTTTTTTTACATTTATTAATAAAACGATAAAACGTTTGTTCCTCTGGTCTTCAGTTTTTGGACCAAACACCGCACAGATCCTGGTGCTGTTGATCAGATGCACCGATCGTCAGAAAGTAAAAGGTTTTTGTTATTTACAACGCCGCCAAGGCGGAACAACACCAGCAATGACCTCAGAGAAGCAACTGGGAAGGGTCAAAGGTCATTTCCAAATATTTACAACTCAATGTGCTACATAGAAGAAAAACTGCCAGTATTCATAAGTTGAAAACATTTATTTAAGATTGACTAAAATGAGCATCTCAGCCCATTCACCCCAAGGTCAGACTGTGCAGTGCTCAGAGAATGAGCTCCATGTCAGACTGCAGGTCAAACGTAATGGCAAGACATTTCATGTATGGCTTTGGTGGAAGGGTTGCAGGAGAACCTCTTCTGTCTAGAAACAAACAAGGGAGCTAGACTTCTGGATGTTTACCCAGAATGCACTGCAGCCAACCACTCCTCCCATTTGTCAGCACAGTGGTGGAGGGCTGATGGTTTAGGCTCCAGTCAGCCACAGTGGACCAGGAACTTCTCTGAGTTCTGGAGTCAAATGAGTCCATCTGTCCAACAGCTGAAGGTTGAACCAAACTGGGTCCAACAGAACCACGATCCCAAAGACAGCAGCTGATCTACAACAGGACGGGTCACAAAGACCAGAACTAAGGTCCAGTCAGAGTCCAGAACCTCAGTGATCCAATCCAAGATATCCAAAATAGAATTCAAGTTTGTCCCTGCTCCTTTTGGATTCAAACCATTAATGATGAAAAGTGTCAGAACCAACCTCTTCTACAGGAACATCTACTTCCTGCTGCTGCAGCCAATCAGAAGCCTGCGTTCTCTCAGAGCTCCCTGATTGGCTGATTTTGCAGGTGTATTTGGATGTGATGTAATCACCTGCAGGTGGACTCGTCAGGATTCTTCTGTTCAGTCTGGTTGGTTTTGAACTCGGTTTTAACTTGATATTTTGCTAACAGAAGGACTAAATTAGTTGGTGCGATACAAAAAGTGGCACTTAAAGAGTTTGTGTGGTGACTCAGCAGCTGTCACAGCACTTTAGCTCAGCTTCTGTCAAATTAACTGAATTTTAGCCATTTTTGCTTTGTTGGCTGTGGCGGCCATCTTGAATTCAATTGGCCACATGTTTATCAGATGTAGACGGAAATCTATCAATCCACCCAATGTGGAAATCCAGTGTTTATTTCCTGAAGGTTTTATTAAAATCTGCCCGATGGTTCATAAGATATTTTGCTAACACAGCGTGTCATTTTACTGTAAGATGTGTGTTGGGGATGACTCGGCTACTACCACAGCAAACTTTAGATCTATACTAACTGGGCTCATGAGTTATTTTCAAGATCAGAATAAAGTCTTCTACTGAAACTAAAAACTTTCAGACAAGATTTTATTTCTTTTTCTTTATTGTAAAAAAAGAAAGTACAAAATGCAAATAGAAATTTTTACAAAAGAAAAAGCTGCAGAAACACGCAGACTGTGACTGACACGCGTGTAAAACATCTGATCGAATGAAACGTGAGCGGCTCAAACACGTCAGCAGGAGTTAGCCGGGCTTCCATTTTGAATCTAAACCTTTTAAACGTTTCTACAAACTTCAAAAATAACCGAGAGGTTTGTGTCCCGTCACGACGGACACAAGCAGTCCTGCGTGGAGTTCTGAGGCGCTCGTCCGGACCAAAACAGACACGTCACGCCACAACCGTGTGTGTACGTGTTCCTGATCAGAGTCCGTAATTGATTCCATTTACAACAAAACACGCTTCAGTCACGCTAGGCGGTTCAACGCCTGCGAGGCTATTTGGTACCATTTCACAGTAAGAACCCCTCAATAAAGGAGTTATTAATGCTTTATTAACAAGTTACTAATGCTTTAACAAGTGCTTTGTTAACGAGTTACTAATGCTTTGTTATCAAGTTATTAATGCTTTAACGAGTTATTAATGCTTTGTTAACAAGTTATTAATTCTTTGTTATCGAGTTATTAATGCTTTGTTAACAAGTTATTAATGCTTTGTTAATGAGTTATTAATGTTTTGTTAACAAGTTACTAATGCTTTGTTAATGAGCTACTAATGCTTTGTTAACAAGTTATTAATGCATTAACAGAAACATTAGCCTGCTCCACTGCAGTAACAGGTTTTTTTTTTTTTTTTACATGCCAACTAACTTGTTCATAAAACCTTAATAAATCCGGTATTAAGGGTCCGTATCAAAGGAACTGGCGCCGGTTGTTCGCTGACGACCTTCAGCTCGCGTTTTAATTTGACAGTCTTCATTTTGACGAGTATTAAAATAATAATTGCATTTACATAATAAACAAGAAAACTATAAGAAACAAATCGTTAAAAAAAAAAAACGATACTTTCCAAAATACAGTAAGTTACTCTCTCAAAACAAAGTTTTGTCTTCGGCTACAATTAAACTGCAATTTTTACAACAATCGAAAGATCCAACTTGCGTTTGCAGCTCGTAAATACCGTGTCAAGTCCACCGGATTTCACCTCATACAGGAAAAGAATTACGAAGTACTTTTGAAGTTTGGAGAAACTGGACTCTTGGGAAAAATAATATTTGGAGAGGCTGCAGCCAGGAGTCTGAACCCCTCGAACGGCCTCAGAGACAAAAGAAGCACTTTAAGGCTGATTGTCGGGTGTTCGGAAACCTCAGCGGAGCAGAAAGGCACATGTTGGTCCCAGCTGTGCTCTGCGTATAAAAAGTGGCATTAAACCCAAACGGAACCAGTTTCACAGTTTTTATAAGATCGAGACACGAGCTGCAGAATCCAGATCAAACAGCCATGCACCTCACGGATGAATGTACAGCTCAACAAAAGGAAAAGTACAAGAAGGGTAGAGACGTGTGAAAAAGTACAGAATGCAGTGATTTGAAAGTCTCACACTAGAACAAATTAAACAAACAAGGTTTGATGGCAGCAACACAACAAAACACTGTAAAAAGTGCCCCACTCTAAAGAGAGGGACCGACCAGCCTGTAATCAACCTAAAGTTCAAACACCAGCCTCTCTGATGCTATAGGGGTGCATTAGTGCCTCTGGCATTGGCAGCTTACACATCTGGAAAGACTCCATCAATGCAGAAATGCAACAAGGAACCAGAAGAAAAAAGACCCAAGAACCATAGAACATCTGGAATCCTCCATCAGACCAGAACAGGACAACATTCCCTCTACAACCTCCAACAGCTGGGCTCATGACCTGGAGGTGGACGGACTGTTGCTTAAAGAAGAGGGGTTGTTTACGTTGTTTATGTATAAAATATATGGTTATTAAATTTTCAAATCACTGCATTCTGTTTTTTATTTACGTTTTACACGACGACTTTTTCAGAATTGGGGTTTAACGTTTCAGGTCTAAAGAAGAACTTGAGCTGCACGATATGTCTCAGTATTGTAGTGGCAAAGATCTGTAATAACTTTCAGATTAATAATAATCTGACGGAGCACCCCCCCCCCCCCCCACCACCTCTGAACGCCCACAGAGGATTGAAATTAAAATACATGAGATGATGAAGTCAGGGAACAAAACAACAACAAAAAGTTTATCAGAACTGAAATCATCAGAAGAACAATAACGTCAAGTTGATGATAAGTGGATCAGTTCCAGTCCTCAGAATCTTGTAGTCCGACCCGAGGTCAGGTCCGACTCGAGTCTTTCCTGAACCCACACGCACAGAGCTGACCCCTGAGACAGGACAAAAACTGAAGAAATGTTTTACAGAACGCACGGGGCGAACCTGCCGCTCCATCAGCCACAGTCCGGACCAGCAGACTGCCTGACGGACTGGCAGACCCGGTCCAGTTTCCACAGGAGGCGCCGGTGCCTCCAGCTGCTCACGCTCAGTTCCTCTGATCCAGTGAATATTCTCCCTCGGACCACGGGACGCCCGTCCAGTCCGACCCAGGTCCAGACCAGGGTCCGGTCTACATGAAAATGTAGAAGGTGACGAGCATCTGGGCGATGAAGATGGAGAGTGCTCCGCAGACGACTCTCCGGGGGGGGCCGGCGTTCTGCCAGAGACACAAACACAACGCTGAAACAATCGCTCCTGGAAGAAATGCATATCGCCCGCCGCCGCTCTTTCTGAGGTTTGAGACGAAGACCTTTTCATGCTTGGAGGATGCACTGGAGAGGACTCTCAGCTGCAGCTCAGTAAAACACCTGGACTGAGTTTTTCGGTTGTCCACTTTAAAATCTGACACAAAAAGACCGACACACGAAGGCGGAAACATTTTGATCCTCGGCGGCGGGCGATAACGAGAAGACTCCTCACACCTGCTACACGTCACCCCAACACGAGCTAAAGTAAGCTAAAGTTAGGAACAACTGCGTCTTCTCGTTGCTCCTCTGGATGAGGTCTGAATCAGCGTTTAGCAGCTCAAAGCCTCGTCAGGCCTTCAGCTGATCTCACAGACACCCAGTTGACAACTGTGACTCTCATTTTGTCACCTGCTGCCATGAAAGGCGGGCAATCGTGTAACTGCTTGTGTCTGTATGTGGGACGTCACTCTGTTAGCAAAATATCTCATGAACCAGTGGACAGAGTTTAATGAAAACCCCAAAGTCATCTACAACGTATGGATTCAGTCCATGAAAGATGGCTGCCGCGGTCTGCTGACGGTAGAAGACACAAAATGTCTCATTCCTTCAGTTTCACAGATATGGAGCTAGATTTTAGAGTGGTAGTAGCTGAGAGTCATCCTTGTGTGGTGCTAGTGTTAGTCTGCAGGAGCGACGGCGTTGGGCAACGTGCATTAGTGCATAGGCCTGTCACGATAACAAATTTTGCTGGGCGATTAATTGTCTCTAAAATTATTGCGATAAACGATAAAATTGTTTGAAATTTGACAATAATTAGTAATTATTGTCAAATTTAAGAAGAAATGTTTATTTGTTTTGCATGAAGTACCTTTTTTATAAGACTGTTTGAACAGAAGGATGGATAGAGAGCGAGC